ACATCCATATAAAGATCATTACACCACATGTAGCATATGACTGGAAAGCAACTTCCACGATTAACCTCAGCTAAATTTTCAAGCAAGTCAAAAAATAATGACTAATTGAATAGAATTCAAGTACATCAACTTTACTTTAAAAAGCAATTCTCATCATTTAAATGCCCCTTGCCATATGGAATTGGGATCAAGAGGCACAGAAAGAATGCTCCTGCTCTTTCACATGCATCAACTATAACAGGAGATGATTTGAAAGATGATTAAGGGTTGCTTTTGGAGCACAGAAAATTAGCATCTGGATATTGCTTCCAACAGCTATACCAAAGATGGAAAGCCAATACTATTATGAAATCCAAAACAGAAAAACAGCATAAGAAAGGCTACCAAAAAATGAAACTGAAAGGGATCAGACAAGACGTTTTGTCTTTTTCAAGAAATAATTTGATCTAAACTACTAATGGAGAATAACACTGATTTAGAAAACTCAAACAGCTTCCATGATGCATGTTGTAAACCTCTCACCTCAATTACTCATTCTCTGGTCTATGGTCTATGGACTTAATATATCTTACGGTGCTAAGGTTATAGTCAGCATTACAATGCTAGATAGATAAATTTGCTCCAAGCCAATTGAGGCATTTATCCATTCAAAATTGAATCAAGAAATAGGCAAACCATATTTATAGAACACAAGAAAAATTCCCTGGTTGTTTCCTATCAGCCATGCAAATAAGCAACTGAAATGCAACAAAAATATAAAAAGAAAATACAAATGCAGGAAAGGCATTCTGCTTACATCACCAACATTGAGATCCGGATTTCCATGAGTGTTTCCATTTCCAGATGCATTTTTCTCATCATTAGGAATCCACTTGGAATTGCTACTCTGAGGCCCATCAAAACCATTGTTGGGGCTCTTAATGAACAATGCATTAGTAACTTGATCCCCTAGGTCCATAGATTCACTGGTCATGCTGGCACTTTCTGAAATATTTTCCAGCTCCACATTAGATGTCTGGTGCTTCTCAATTTCCAGTCTCAAAACACCTTTCACAGGTTTATGGACCTTGTGTTTAGGATCCTGTTATAATAAAGAAAAAAAAAAAAAAGAGTGAAGCAGAAAATCAGAAGCCATTGCTGCATAAATGACAAAGCACCAAAAAGGGAAAAAGAAGAAAAAGAAAAAACAGGGATGAAGATGCTGAAAAGCTTACTCTAGAAAAAAAAATATGCATAAAAATGCTTTTAATTAGTGAAAAAGGTAATTACGTGCATTTCTATACTCAAAAAAGGATAAGTTCTCATAAAATATCTAGAGAACATTTCATATTCTTCATTTCTTTGACCTCCCTTTTTCACAGCATTTCTTTGGCAGAGTTGTTTTGGGTTTTTTATTAGCACCTTGATGCACCAAATACGCACTACTTTTAGGCAAGTGAACCTAATCGATTATGCAGTATAAGATGAGTAAGATATCGTTCCCTCGAAGACTATCCTACAGTACCAAGACACTATTAATCTAACCTAAGTTGAATTAACCAATTAATAGGGAGAACTAAACTATTTAAAAGAAAACTAAGTAAACTAAAGAAAATTAAACTAAAGAATTTTCTAAATTAAAGAAACTATGAATG